GAAAAAAATTCTCCATAATTCTCCTTACATGGCTATATTCTTCACTATAATTCATCTATGGCCACTCTGTAGTGCAAATAATTGGTATGCTAGAAATACAATATATCAAGAATGTTCAAGTTCCCTATGTCAATATCTTACACCTCTTGTTATTTCTTTTCTTTTCATATTTGGAAAAAAATCCATAGGTGAAACAATAATGAAGGCCAAAGTTCTCCTTCTTTAGAATACTGAGTTAAGTATACGAGTACAGGCTATTTCATGACAACTCTTGTAAGATTTTCATTGCAACATCAGATCTGCAAGGATATGTAGTCACTGGTTTTAACTGGCACAAAATAAAATTATTTATTTGGAAAATGAGAAAACAGACTTCTAGGTCTTAATCACCACTGAGTAATATTTCTGACTACTGATGCCTATTAATCAAAAATCAAAATTAATCAAAATTATTCTGTGTAACAGGTTTAGGTGGAAGGACCATCCCAACTGACAGAGCACCTTTTCCTCTGGCTGGAGGTAAAAAGTTATCAAAACACAGTTTTCCTAATATCAGTAAATAGAGTAAAAAAAAAATAAATCATGGAAGCTACTCTAAATTTAAAAGCAGAAGCCTAGGCAATTTTCTCTCTCATTACATTTTAACCCACAGTACAAAACTCCAAACCTGTAAGAATTGGGTAGGAATTTTCACAAGCCACTGCCTGGAACTTTGTGATCTACTTAAAAAAAAAAAAAAAAAGCCAGTATTAATGTTTTTTCCTGACTGCAAACACACAATTACTCTAGATGGTCTTTCCAAGCAATGCATTAGCAGACTCACCATTTAGTTTCATGTGCCCGGATGTTTCCACTTTAGAAAGCCGAGTGAGAATTTCAAGATGCAGTATTCCAGTTCCAAAAGCAGACAAACTAGTCTGAAACTGGAATTTTCTACTGGCACAATGTGAGGAAGACTCAGCTCCTGGAAGCTTTTCCTTGGTGAAAAGCCTCAGAAGAGCCCAGCTGTGTTTGTAGCTTGGATGTTTGATTGCACTGCATACACCAGCAGCCAAGGGAAAGTGTGATACATTTAGAACCCACCCATGAAGTCTCCAAACTAACTCAACTCAAACAGAGGGGCACTCTTAGGCTTAGGGTGTTGTTAGGGAATCTGAGGGACCATCAAAGCCATGCACATCCATCAGGATGAACTCCATGGTTGTGATGCTACAAACAAATCCACAACAGCAGCAGCCCTGCCCCTGCTTGGGCTTCCACAGCAGAATGTTCCCTTTTTCTGGTCCTCTCCTCCCTGCCCAGCCAACATCTCCAGTCATGCTGGGGTGGAGAAATGGCAGCTGTTCCCCTTTTTGCCCAGTAACCTACAGTGAAGAAGCACTGCATCATCTGTCTGCCAGCCATAGTTTCTCACTACCCAAATCTATTTTAGTTGGCAATAAGTTAATTTTCCCCAAGACAAGTCAGTTTTGCCCACAGTGGTAATGGGCCAGTGATCCCCCTGTCTTTATCTCCACTCAAAAGCTCTCTCATTCTACTTTCTCCCCAGTACCACTAAGGAGGGGGAGCGAGGGAGGGGCTGGGTGGGCAGCTGGCTGTCAGCCAAGGTTAACCTGCCAGAGTGTATCTTCAGGTAAGAAAACTACCCAGGAGCCCTCTTTCGAAACTCTCCCAAACCTGAGCTTTCACTTCAATTTCAAAGGAAATGCACACCTACAAACTCCCACTTGTGTAGATACATACAAGTACTGTTTGCATATCTATAGTTCAAAGCATCTTCTAAGTCTTAATAAAATGTGCTTACCAAGACCAATTCCTTACTGCCATCAAAATTATAATTTTAATAAGAAAAGTTTGTTTGTTTGTTTGTCTGGTGGGGGTTTTTTCCCATGATATTTTGGCTTAGGAGTAGTTCCATAATTTCTGAGAAAAACAGAAATTGCCTCAATTTCAGGACAGTCCTACTGAAGCTCTTAGAGGCCAGTCTGGTTTTCATCCACTCGCTATTAGCGGATAATGATCATTGCTGCTTCATCAGCTCTGCACCTACTTGTGTTGGCGCTGTCTTCCACACATGAAAATTCATCTAGGGACTTCATACTGCTCTGAGACAATTTAGCTACCTCAAGTACAAGATGCACTGAGAAAACGGAGAGTCTGAACTGCCTTGATTATTAATAAGGCCTCACCTTTCCAGGACTGCAATTATTTACCTTTATTTAAGAGAAACTAAGAGACTGTGCACCAAGTGTTACTGAACCACAAACCCAGAGGAGAGTCCTGCATTTCTTCTTACGAAGTTCAGCCAGCCAAAAATAAGTAATGAATTACACAGGTTTCTGCATACACTAAACAGATCCATTAAAGTGGATTTATCTGCACCATTTCCCTTAAATTACAATCATGCCCTACTTTTGTGCAATTTTCTATATTTTGTGAAATTGTTACCAGGGATCTAATCTCTTGTTTGGTGCCACTGTTATAGCAGGTTATGAAATACATATTGGACTAATATTGGAAGTCCTGCAGACTTGTGAGTGTCACAGCAAAGCCTGAATATTGCCAGATGGCTGAAGAGATAGTCATATTAGCTGCATCATTACTTCAAAAGAGAAAGAATAAACTTACCTAAAATACCTAATACTCTTTCACTATTCCTACATGTTTTCTAAAACAAAAGCACATCCATGTAGTTCAAGGGAGTGCTAAGTAATGCATAAGGTAAGAGCAGGAGGAATCCTCCTGCCCAGTGCCGAGTTCTACCTTTCATCTCTTTCACAAGTCCCACGCTGCAGAAGACAAACGCAGCGGCACAGCATTTCTCTCCCAGTCCTTGCTGCCTCAGGAGGTGTTTTATTCTCTGTCACCAAGTGCACTCTCACTGGTCCTTTCAGTAGAGCCATTTCCATTAAAATATGAAAATTTAGACACAGAGATGAGCACAGTATGCTCACATAACACACCACAATAATTCCCAGCATAAATAAGGCAATTATTTAATCGTACATAAGGGGTTTATTACCCTTGAGCAACTCCTAGGTTTTACTAAACAATTAAAATTCTCTGGGGTTTTCTTTCACTTGCCTGAGATTTTAAAGAACGTTTTCATGAGGGTTGGAGACGTGTTTGGAGAGAGCAAAAGTCTTACCTAGTACAAGTTTATAGCTCTCCAATACTAAACTTGTAAGAGCAATTTAATCTCATCATCTTTACCCAAGTGGCACAGAAGTCCATCAGTGTGGACAACATCCCACATTTATTCCTGCAAAACAATCTAATTATTCTACTTTCATTATTTTAAAAATTAAGATAAATTCACATACCTGAATTTTTCACACCTCTGCAAAACAATTTCCAATACACACCAGACTTCACTAAAAACATAAGCTAAGAATAGCACTGACTTTCCTGTTGAAGTCAGGATGAGTTCTAAGAAATGTCAAGTCTTATGAATTATTCTGAATTCGTGGTTCACTATAGTCTCCTAGCCCCTGTAGTTCCCAAATGACTGTAAAAAAATGCTAGCTAAACAGCACTTATCCATTCTTAGAAAAATCTAAGTCAGACTAGCTTTTAAGCTCTGCATTTTCCCCAGTGGGATAAAAAGTGCTTTAGAGAAACTGAAAATAAAGCATGGAGAGCACTGCAGCCAGCTCTGCCACGCTACTAAAGAATTCAAAGGAAAGCTTTTCATTTATTTTCCACTCAGGGCAGCCCTGTCCAGCCAGTGGGCAAGGAGAGGTTGTGTGAACAAAAGGTGGTGCATTTATTTCAAACTTTAGGTAAGATCACCAATTACAAGCGAGCCAGGAGTTTTATCACTGTGGCATGAAAATTATTTAAGGAGAAGTGGAACCCAGTCGATGCTGGGACACAGGATTTCTCCTTCCCAGCCACTAGAGCCCAACCAGATGCACTCTCAGACTGGGGCTTCTCCCATCTTAGTTTGACAGATGCAGCTGCCACTGTTTCTGCTTGGGGGTTGAGCCAGGAGAGAGGCTGAGCCCCTAATCCAAAACAGCAGATACACACAAACACACATATGCCTTTACCAGCATGCACCTACACAGCAAAAGTGCTCACATAAATCCAACAACACAGCCCCATCTTGTCCCTCATCTCCAGCCAAACAGGACTGAAGCTCACCAGCGAGACACGCAGACCCCTGCACTCTCCAGCTTCACAAGGACACCACACTCACAGAGACTTCAAACATCACCATGGGGTTTGAGGCCATCTAAAACCCATGCCCAGACCCTGAGCCCCCTTACCCTGCTGCTGGTTCGCATCTGGGCTCTTTCCAGGTGCTGGTTTCCTCCTACTTGCCAGCCAGTCCAGTCTGACATTCCCAGCTGAGTTCTGGTAGTGAAGTTGGCACACACAGCGGGACCCCTACAGCACCTGGTGGTAAACACACTGGTAGCCTATGGCTGGCCCTCAAATCCTACAGCCCCTATGACCCATGACCTCTTCTCCAGCTGCAGGTGCCCAGACCTGGTAACACACATCCATGGACAGACACAGCCCAGAAAGCAAGGTCAAGCAGAAAATCATCAGAATAGGTATTTATTTATTTAATAAGAACCTGGGATAGACTGCAGTGATGTGGCACAGGGCTCAGACACGAGCACCGCTTACATGAGACTGTCCCTTTGCTCTCCCGCTCTAATCTTCTCACATCCATCTTGAACATTTCCTTCCTCTGCTCCTGTGTCCTCCCAAACAATGCGCCCCTAACTACTTTTCTCCATTAGTCCCAGTATCACTGCATCCCTATCCAAAATGGATATTACCTACATCCTCCCCTGAAACATCAGTGAAATTTGTCCATCTTTCACAGCAGCCATCTGTAATTTTTGTCAGCTTCTCTCTGTTACTTTTGTCCAGCAATTTCTCATATTGTGGCCAGCAGTTTCTCAGTCTTATCGGTTCACTAAACCTCAGGCCAAGGCCTAGACATCTGCCTGCATAATAGAAGATTTACTTCAAAGACGAAACCAAAAAGAAGTGCAGACACCCTAAATTATTATAGGTTTAACAGTGCTGAAGAAATGTTTCTGTGAAACTATGCAATTATCTACCGCAGCCAAACGTCTGGTTCCAGGTTTCATAGAGCTCTAGGTCCTTCGAGGAGACGCTGGGCCGCACGGTTCTGAAGGCACTCTCAAAGTCCAGGAAAGCAATAGGCCGCACTTGGTCTGGCATGATGGTTGTGATGTCCATGGACTGAAGACTGCGGATAGGACCCAGAGAAGCTTCTCGACAGAGCTGTGTCATGTCTGCTCCAGAAAAGCCATTTGATTTCTTAACTATGAGTTCAATCTCCTCTTCCTTTAGAGAGCAGTGCTCCCTTGACATTAGACGGGTAACTATCTGCTTCCTAGCTGAGGCTTCTGGAAGAGGAATGTACAGCCTCTTCACCAGTCTCCTCCGGGCAGCCTCATCGATTTCCTGGGGTCGATTTGTTGCTCCAACCACTAGAATACGATCGTCAGAGGAGGTTGTTGCCCCGTCTAACTGGACCAGAAATTCAGTTTTTATTCTTCTCGATGACTCGTGCTCCCCATCTCCACGCTGAGACAACAGAGAATCGATCTCATCGATGAAAATCACTGCTGGCTGTTGACATCGTGCCACGGCAAACAGCGCACGGACCATCTTCTCCCCCTCCCCTACCCACTTGGAAGTCAAGGAAGAGGCACTGATGCTAAAAAAAGTCGCTCCAGACTGGCATGCAATGCACTTGCCGATAAGAGTCTTGCCAGTCCCAGGGGGGCCAAAGAGAAGGATTCCTTTAGGAGGACCACGTAACCCAGTGAAGATGTCTGGCCTCAGCATAGGCCACACTACTATTTCTTTTATGGTGGCTTTAGCAAATTCAACTCCGGCGATGTCATCCCAGCTGACAGGAGGTCCATGGTCCATGATCTCGTGCATAATTAGTTCAACCATTTTTGGTTCTATGTTTTTCAGTCGCTCATCTACAGGCAGTAATGGTTCTGTTGGTCCTCCTGCATGAGGTTTACACTGTGCGCCTCCATTTTCATTTCCATCTTGTTTTGGAACTGGAGGAACAAACTTGCCAAATGGACCCCGAGATCTGCCTGCACCCAGGGATTTTTTAATGCTTCCATATGACGAGACTGGTGCACGCTGGGGTAGGTTTTGAGATTTCTTTTGCTGATCCACCCACAGCTGTTCCTTTGCAGTTCTAAAACCAGGAACACCGCCTTCTTCATTTCTGTTTCTGCTCCCTGAAACACTACTGGTTTCTGTGCTAATGGAAGGCTGGCATGGCGCAGGGTTAGGCATCACCATGCTGCCTTCATCAGCCAGACCATAAAACACTTTTCTTTTTCCAGAACTTGTGGGCCATGCAGGTAGAGCTGACTGATTGGAAAGAGACGGATTTTGTCCATCATGGCAGTTGCTCAGCATTTTCAGAGAACTACTACTCGTCCCTTCTTTACTTCCAAATAGTGGCGTTGCCTGGAAACCTGCATGAAGTTGTTTGTTTAAGGAGGCTGCAGAGGCGGGAAGCGTATCTGAAGTTTTGGTCACAGGAGGCACACTGCTTTGAAGAGACTTTGAAGATGAGGGATGCTCCAGATCCGGTCCCCAACTTGCACATTTTGCTGAGCCAGCGCAGAGCTCAGTCCCTCCGGCACTGCTGAAGATACCGAGTTTAGGAAGACCCGGAGCGGCAGAGGCACTGACCCCTTTATCAGGCAGTACACAGGCATCTGCTGGTGCCATCTGAGAGCTTTGGAAATTTTTGCCAGCCTGCAGCCTCTCTTGCACACACTTTAACTCAAATACATTCTCTGTTGTCAAGGCAGATTGCCACTTGTCACTGTCATTTTGCTGACACTTTGCCAAAGTCAAAATGTTTTCAGCATAGTTATTCAAGCCAGTCTCTATGTTGTCAGAGTCAATAATTGCAGAGTAGTTCTCTGCGTACTTTTTAAACAGGTTGGCAGCACAGACCTGAGAGATCTCAGAGTTTGCCCATGCATACTGAATATGCAGGATTTTGGCACGATATTCATCTGCCTTCTGGCTGGGTGTGCAGGTGCCAGAGGCAATAGCAAAGTAACTTTTCTGCCAGTCGCTCAGGTGCACGGTGCTGGGGGCAGGGGTTTCCATCACCGACACTGAAACATATGTAAAATATGTGCCGTTATAAAATGCATTTCACAGCTATTTGCTTTGGCTGTTTTCCCCTTTTCCTAAACACATATACATGAAAACTTACATTATTTAATTGAGAGAAATAGCGCAGTAGACCTTGTAATCTACTTAGCCAGTCTGGACACTTGGCCATTTTCTAAAAGCAACCAGCTTTGTGATGTAAAGCCATTTAGACTGAGGCTCTCTTTTCTTCCTTGTTCAAAGAAAGAAAAGAAGAAGAAAAATAGAAGAGTTCTTCTAAGCAGAGGTCTCCTGGGGAGGTAAGTAGACTGCAAAGAATGGTAACAGATGGCCAAACAAAAACTGGCCTTGTTAAATGAAATCACCAGTGCTTTCACTCTTACTTGACATAATATGGCACAGTGCAGAGGAGGACAGATTACACATCACTGTCAGAATGATGAAATTTATTACAGTGATGGTAATAAAAATGAAAAAATGAAGATAATAAATAAAACTATATGCAAAGTCTCTAAGGGAGGTAAAAGTGGAATGAGTAAGTCCGAATGTAGTAAACTTTGAGATAAGAAAAGATTTACGGATTCACAGCAAATGTTCAAAACTATTTATTCCATTTAGAGTGTACTAAAATGTCCCCATTTCACATTTTAGAGAAACAAAGCTCTTGCGTGTTTAAAGCAATGCTTGTTTCTCAGTTTTAGAAAGCAGAATTTAAATTCTGTCAGCGATTTTTCCCTTAAGGAAATAGGAAAGATGACGACAGATGACATTTGGCTAGGAAGGAGCATTTTGCTAGACTTGAAAAGATATGCTCACTTTTCCGATGTATTTTCAAGGAAGTCTTTCTCTGCAGTGTATCATGTGCAGTGATAGGTCTGGTAATGCCATGAATTTGTGATTTCAGAAGAGACAAAGGCACGAGCAAAATTATGAGAAACCCACCAGTGGTTTGCAGAAAGCTCCTAACACACAAGAATTCCGATCTTTTCACCTGTCCACACAGGACATATGTCTAATACATGATATGACCGAAATATATCAAATTCTAATGTCTCTTTTTTTTTTTAAGTTCATTATGTACTGAGATGTTCCAGATAGAGAATATATAAAACAAAAACTGTTTAAGTGGAGGTCCACATATTCCACAAGTCACCTTGCAATCTTCTTCTGAATCAGCGAGACCACAGATGAGTGCAGATTACGGTACAGGTCTAATGTACCTACAAGACTGGGGAGACAGAGCTGATGGAATCTGGGGATGCGGTGGGGTCCTCCCTATTTACTTTCAAAAAGCCTTGCATCAATGTCAGACAACAGAGAGAACAATATGATCATGGCAGAAGGGGTTACAAAAGGAATAACACTAAGATAAATTTTTGTTTTGGTTTGTGTTTTGGACTTCAGACCAAACTTGTAGAGCTGTTTAGAAAAGTGAAAATACCTTTCACCTGCAAATTCAGTGTCTTTACATGGGAAGTTTATTAAAAAAAACCAACCAAACATAATAAGACTTACTCTGAAAAATTACTGTAAACTTTTACACTGTGAGAAGTCTAACTTGAACCTACCAAATGAGGTGCAAATTCCCACCATAATCAACTTGCAGCTGTGCAACAGGTTATCAGGAGATAGTGGATCACAGACTTTTTTTATTCCTTTTAGCAACTACTAAACAACATACTAAGTAACTGTCACTGTGCACATAGCTTTTTTGTGACTGTTGAATCAAAAACATCCTAAGCAACGTAAAAGCTAAGTTCAGAAAAAGCTTAGTAGCAGGCATTTGCTCCCATAAAATATATCAATAGACTGAAATAATTCAGAATACAAAATCTTAAGTTCACCACCACTTCCTAAAGATTTAGTAATCATCTTCACAGCATTGAGGGATGGTCATAATAAGTGGCAGCTAATTTAAAACTTCAGTTTTACTTTTCTTAAGTATCTTCTAATAACATATTTTCTCCCTATTATAATTCCTATTAGTTGTCCTCATAGTCTTACTATTTCTCCCTGAGAGAGAGCCAAATGTGTACATGGACAGTCATTCCTTCAACAAACTGTTCCCAGATGTTATGGGCATCATACCTTAAGTGTCTGAACTTGGGGGTTAATCGAAGCACTGACAATAATGAATTTCTGGCTTTCATGTTTCAGCCTCAGCAGACAGAGGTGTAACTACCTAACAAGCAATGTGCTGGATGTCCTTACATTCATACATTAACATATATACTCATTCTAAACATGATGAAAGCCTGCTTGCCCGTAGGCCAAGAACACCAGAAGGGAAGCACCGCCAGCTGCCCAGGCAAGGCTTACCCCTCTCTGCTGCAGTGGAGCACTCACAGGCCGATACCGCCCAGCCGGCGAGAAGCCAGGGCCTCTCAGCCCAGGAGCCTTCGCTGGCACAACTTCAAGCAGGTCGACCCCGGGGAAGCCGACACCAGAGCCCTGAGGGCTCCCCAGCGACTTTCGTCCCTCCGCACC